TTATTCTCTGACCCCGTTCCTCGCATCCAGTTCCGCCGCCGTCGTCGTCGCTGACAACTCTGATCGCGTCTCATCCGATGGACGAGTTCAATAACAGCGGCTGTTGTGAGCGGAGGAGCAGCAGCAGTGACTCCGGCTGTCTTATATTTTCCGAGCATGGAACAGGCTCGCTGCTGCATATGCCAGAGTTCAGTATAATACATCTTCTTCGCGCTGTCGTCATGGACGTCCCTGTTGGGCGCTCGGGATCCTTTAAGCTGCCAACTTTTCGAGGATGAAGCACGTCGCCGCCGTTGTCCTCGGGAAATGATACCCGAGAATGAGGTATGAATGAGCTCTGTCTTTCATGGACCTGAAAGCATCTCCGAAGATTCCGAGCCGACGAATGAATGATAAACACAGACTGCCGTCTGCTCCCGGCGGAGCTCGACCGCTGAGGGTTCCTTCGCGCGGATTCATAAGAACCTTGTACATTCGTACGTAGGCAGAATATTCTCCACGAAGCTGCTTCTGCATCGATGATCGTACTCGACCTACAGCGAGCAGGTCTGCTCGGTGATTCATAGCTCAGTCACTGTCCCGAGTGACGGGAATTATGCGACACGATACCGACGGCAAAGAGGTCGAGAGCGAGATCCCTCCTATTATGGAAGTCACAGATTAGGGGGAAGAGATCATTCCCGGCGGTCCGAGTATGTTTCCGCTCCTCCAGGGCGCATCTCGTCACACCTGTCGTTCGTTTCTACTCGTTTCATGAACGAGTTGTGTCCGAGGGCTGTTTTGGGGGCGAAGGATTCCCGAGACTCTCTCAAGATGAATGGCAGTCCCATCCGAAATTTCTCAGACGAACTCCGTCCGTCCGACGTGGAATATTCCCCGGTTCGGAACTGTCGAGCGGGAGCTCACGGACGGACATCCAGACAGGGTAATCGGGAAGAAACCGCTTCGGATCCACTTCGGGAAAACGAACTCACTTCTGATGCCTTGTGCATGAGAAGTCAATCGATGCATGTGCACGCTGCCTACGCTCGGCCCGAATGTGTCGTATGATTCGCTTTTCCCATCTCTGAGGGATTTTGGTGACGGAAGGAACCCAGCGGACAATGCGTCGGCATGAACGGCCCTCAGACGCACAATTTCGGTCTCTCGCCGAGGACTTCGCTTCGGCCTCTTTCAGGAATGCATAAAAAGGCGAGCCCAATGCCGTGAACTTTCACATCATAGGGGAAGAAACGCCGTGGGGACGAAAATGGATAAAGAATGAGAGCGACCGAGGAGGTAAGGCGAAACCAGCGGGGGTCAAATGGGATCAGATAACCATTAACTTCTCTATCGTTCGTTCGTCTCTCCGAGTTCCGAAGATACGGCCGCGCCACCTTCTTCATCCCTCTGTGATTCTTCCTCTATTTGATCACTCGATGAATTCGCTTCTTTCTCGAGCGTTGTATCTCCTGTTCGTTCCTTGCTTTCCATCAACAGACTGGAGAGCTTCGCCTTCACGATCTGAGTTTTCCTTCTGGCTTCCATAACTTCATTAGGGTCATGATTCTCGCAATGGTCCGATTTCCATTGAATCTTCAATCGCGATGACCACTCGGACCATAATGAGAGAAAGTCGTCTATCGTGGCCGAGCAGCGACAGAATGCTAGAGAAACGCCCGACAATGAATGACTTCGACGGCAAATGAGATCCGAAGCCGCTCCATGAGATCGGCGATGGTGCTCGAGCGCTCATGGTTGAAAAAGCTCAATTTGGCTCCTCACTTAATCGATCGTTATGCTGAAAACGCATTCGAGCGCAAGAGGTACTTCGCGATTCTGCGAACATAAGGATGGCTCGGTACGGCATTTATGGTGCCTGGTGATTTTTCTTGAATTTTCGTTAATTGATGTTGGTTTCCGCGGGACTGCACGGTGATCGTTGATTCGTGCCAAGGTCAGAACAGTCTTGGTAAGAAAAACATGGTCGATACGTTTGTTGGGGTGTGAACGTAAACATTCGTGATGAACGTCTGCGTCAAAACCACAATTCAGAACCGCTTATCCCTCCGGACTTTCCCGCGGATGGACGTCCGGCTCGGATGGTCCGCGAAATCGGTTCACGGTCACTCGGCTCCAGGGAATGGGACCGTCCTCCAAAATCAGACAGATCGCCCTGGAACTCGCGAATCAGCGCGACGGTCGTACGCTGGGAATTCCGAGAGGAAATAATCGCTCTCAGGACGCGGATCCCCGCGAGCGCGAGTGTTTTTCGCATAGATCTGAAAGAGACACTCGGCTAGAATGGGACGGCTTATGCAGCGAGAACCGGCTGGTATGAGCCGGCAGCGGCCGTGTCGACACGGCACGCGACGTGAACGAGGATGAGACGCGAGAGTGAGGGGCGAGGGACGAAGATGAAACTGGAATGGAGAATACGCTCCATTGTTCCGCCTTCTGAATGAATGAACGAGCGCGGGAAAACAGGCAAAACTTGTTTGTGGCTAAGTAGACGGGAGGTTTGCCAGCCGTCGGCCACGTGCGCGTCGTCACCCGAGCCTTACGTTCGTTTGGCACGCTATCCGCGTTCGCCGGCAATGCGCGAGGAGGCTAATTACGAATGATGGTCACCAGTAGACCCAACAGAACAAACGAATGGGGAGATCTGCTCAAAACTCTGGAACAGGACATTCGAATTTCGCGAACACGACATTCGCGTCGTGGGCGACCCGCCGACGGTGTGGGATGTTCCACGAGTCGCATGGAGAATGTCCGGGAAAAAGAATCAGATTCAGGACTTCTGACCGGGACGGCGGAAATGAAAGTTGGGCTCATTGTCGCCCGATCAGTGTGCCAATTATTCGCGAGCGTATCGCGTCGGAGGGTCCAGAACCTCCTGGGCTCTCAATTTTCGGAAAGAAGAAGAACTTCGCTCGAAATCGTTCGAGAGCATTCAAATCCGAATGATGGGAGTCGGGGTTCTGCCCAGCTGAATGGCGTCATGCTTTCCCCCTCATGATGACAGCAGTATCGGATACCGTCCGAGAAGCACCGAGCTGAAGGCTCCTGACGGCCGAGAGCTCCGGAGTCGGAGATTCAGCGACCGAGGCTTGTCGCTGTTGGGTCGTGTTCGTTCGGGTTTCGTTGATGCTCTTCTTAGATACGATCCGATGTGTGCCCAACGTCATCCAGCTGGTTTGCTAGTTATACTGACGCATTCGCTACCTCGTTCGCTCGCGCGCCCGATCGTACGGATACACAGAGGACATCAGCACACCTTGCGTAAAAAAAAAACAACTGCCCGCAGCGATCTTAACACTTGCTCCTCTCACCGTCTAGCGAAACTGAAGCTCTATCGCACCTCCAGCCGACGGACCCTGCCCGTCGTCTCGCAGCTGCCCAACCCGCAGCTGATTACCACCTTTGTCAAGACATTGTCGTCACCGCCGCCTCTGTCCTCGTCTCCAGGTCCGGAGCCGCCGCAGCCTCAACGTCGCCATTCCGGCTGATGCGACGAAACCTTCGCTCAGTCCGTCCGGCGGAGCGAGCAGCGTGCTTGCTTGCTTACCATCATCATGATCATAATGTATTTCCCCCGACAAAAAATGGCGTTGATGTAGCGTGCGATGAAAATGTATCATGACGGAAATTTTCATCTGCCATCACCTTCTGGCTCTGATAAACTGCGTACCGAATAGCGGAGGGCTTAGGACGCCACGAGCCGCCACCGCGAAAGAGTGACTTTCTACGCGCTGCGGCACGCCACCTGCGAACGTTAGTGTCGGCGATGGCGGCGACGTCGTCGCCGTCGAGGTCGCTGGCTCCCAAGCTCCGAGCGATCATCAGCATTTCCGAATTTGAATATTTAAAATAGGATCAGAAAAAAAACTGTCGACTCACCACAAAGATGTTCGACGTAGGCCGACTTCGCTGCGAGCTTTATCACCTGCAACGAACGGAGGAACGGGAATTACTTCCGGGTCTAGGATGCCGCATGAATTTCACTTTCTCGATTCGCGATGGGAAGAAGCCGAATGACCCGAAGATTCGGCACTTGGGAGCTTCCGAGGCTCTGAGTGCCAGCGAGCCGGAAGCAGAGTTGCGTCTCTCCAAAATCGTCTTTCCATTTATCTATGTTATTATTAGAGAGGTATTTCCTTCCCGATTTCTCTATCGAATAATTTTGGAGCGCGACCTATCGACTCGAAAGTCAATTTACTGGGATTCTTTTAAAGACACGACCTCCAGACGAGATCGGATGGAAATAATTGGCGCGATCAAAAGGGCCCATGACTCATTTGAGCGCATTTGGAGGACTCTCCGACGCTTTCTACCTGGCTCCGAACAAATGTCAGAAATTCCCTTTGCGCCGACCAGCCGAAAATAGAATCCGTCTGAGTGAGTTCTCGGAATTTTCCGGTCAGCGAATCCACGTGTCCACATTTGTAATCGGGAACAGGGACTCGGCCATTTTGGAAGAAGTATAACTCTGCACATTTCCATAATTTCTCCCCATGGATGGCACACAGCTATCCTCGGTCCGGGACTGACATTCCCAGAACAAAAACATCACGGCCGACGCGATGACCCCCAGTAGTTGGGCGAGTATTTTCGAGCAATCGTAAGAGCTCGAAGATAAAAGTTAAGGAGCGACGAATCGAACGTGACCCTACTTGAAATTCAGCTATTTCCAGCCACCACTGGAGGTTTTTTTTATCGTCGACGCGCGATCGTTAGGACGCCCGTTCGCGAGATCAACATTGGCGAAATCCAACTCGACAGTTAGTCCGGAAGGAAATTACGACTTCCCTCGAAATCACGTCAACCGGTGAAACTGCATCGGGAAAGATGAACTGTTTACATTCCCTCTCGATCGAGCGTTGTCGCGCGCCGCTGCCGCCGCCGTCGACGTCGTCCGTCGTTTCCAATCACCACAGAGTCCTCCTTTCCTGATCTCTAGGATTCCGAAGCCAGCGCCACGCAGCGTCGACGATCGTGACCGGGCGCTAAAGGACGTTTCCCGGCAATCGTTGGATCACTGAGCACCGTAGCCGAACCGATAACGTAACGCTCGCAGCCATAATGGAGCTTCCGACGGCGATTCCCGACGCCCAAGTGGAGTGCACCCAGCTCTTCATCAACGGTGCCTTCGTGAACGCTTCGAGCGGCAAAACGTTTCCCGCGCTCAATCCGGCCAACAACAAGAAGCTCGCCGACGTTCAAGAGGCAAGTCCCGCCGACGTAGACAAGGCGGTTGCCGCCGCGAGAGCCGCTTTCAAACCAGGTTCGCCATGGAGGAGAATGGACGCCGCGCAACGTGGTCGTCTCTTGAACAAATTGGCCGATCTTGTCGAGAGAGATATTGCTTATCTCGCGAGTCTGGAATGCCTCAACAACGGCAAGCCCTATCAATTCGCCGTGGGTGACGTGCATTCAGCGATCAATTTCCTCCGCTACAACGCTGGCATCGCCGACAAAATTCATGGTCGTACTATTCCGGTCAACGGAGATTTTTTCTGCTACACCCGCTACGAACCTGTGGGCGTCTGCGGTCAGATCCTCCCGTGGAACTTCCCCCTGATGCTAACATGCATGAAGCTGTCGGCGGCCATCGCTGCCGGCTGCACCGTCGTCATCAAACCGGCTGAACAAACCCCGCTCACGGCTCTCTACTTGGCCAAGCTTACGGTGGCCGCCGGTTTTCCAAACGGAGTGATCAACGTTGTTACCGGCTACGGCAACGTCGGAGCCGCCATCAGCGGACACATGGACATCAACAAAGTCTCGTTCACGGGCTCGACCGAAGTCGGTCAGCTCATCCAACAAGCTGCCGGCAAATCCAATTGCAAGAGAGTCACTCTGGAAACCGGCGGCAAGAGCCCGCTGGTCATAGCCGAAGACGCTGATTTGGATCAGGCTGCCCTGATCGCGCACAACGGGCTCATGTTCAACGCCGGTCAGTGCTGCATCGCTGCGAGCCGTCTGTTCGTTCACGAATCCGTCTACGAGGAGTTCTGTAAAAAATCCGTAGAGCTCGCGAAAAAACGCACGGTCGGATGTCCTTTCAAGTGCTTGGACCAGGGACCTCAGATCGACAAGGAGCAGACCGATAAAATCATGGAGCTCATCGAGTCGGGCAAGAAAGAAGGCGCGAGATTGCTCTGCGGCGGCGGGAAGATCCCCGGGCCTAGCGATCTGTACGTGCAGCCTACAGTGTTCGCCGACGTGACGGACAACATGAGGATCGCCAAGGAAGAGATTTTCGGACCAGTTCAGCAAATTCTCAAATACAAAACGCTCGACGAGGCCATAGAGAGAGCCAACCAGACTCATTATGGTCTCGCGGCGGGAATCGTCAGCAAGAACGTTGACACCATCCAGAAGTTTGCCCAGAACATCCTCGCCGGAACGGTCTGGGTCAACACGTACGCCGTCGTCGCTCCGCAGACGCCTTTCGGGGGTTTCAAGATGTCGGGCATGGGGAGAGAAAACGGCGTTGAAGGGGTTTTGGCTTACTGCGAGGTGAAGACTGTTACGATGGCTCTTCCGGAAAAGCTGTCGTGAGAAATTCCACGGTAACGAATGGCCGAGCTGACGAATAGCTTTTCGAGCTCCTCTGGCGAGAGGACGCCGAGTGCCCGGCTGCTCCTCTCCCAGAGGAGCTTGTCGGCCGCTCCATGCTCGCATGTTTAAATAAATTCAATGGGTGATCCCAATGACCGAGCTTCGGTGTTTTTTCTCCGATCGCCTTTCTCGCAACAATCATCGCTGGCTGAATGAGTCGTATCGACATCGGGCATGACCTCGAGAACGCCTGTCAACAATCACAGACTTCTGGGCTGCCCGTTTGACTGATGCAGAACGAAATGTCTCGTGGAAGAGCATCCGGAGCATTTTACCTACTCTGGTCCCGCCGGACACACTACAATTATCCTCAATTGTTCTGTCCCTGTCGGCTCACGATATTCCGACGGTCTCCGATTTTCGCTCGATCAGAATTTCACTTTGAGGAGAGCCTCTCTTATCGGTGCCTGTCCGAGTCTTCGGGGAACATCAATCGCCGAAAACGGAGAAAAAATCGTGAGCGGAGCCCCGCCATTCCCTATCGGGTTCTAAGGCCGCGGGTCACGTCGAGCTTGACTATCGCAGCCTTTGCTTGGTCGAGTTCGCCTTGACTCCTTTCTTCGTGGGCGACTGGCGGCACACTTAGATAAATAACATTTCACGAGGCGGCTGAGGCGACATCTGTTGTATTATTATCACGGGCCATGTTGTTGATGTCGGTGTCGTCTTCGTAGCTGAAGCGTGGACGGGCTGAAAATCGGTCTACCGGCTGAAGACGCATGGCTCCGAGATAAGAGCCGACATCATGAACACTGAAACAACAAGCAGAACTACTTCTACGGCGAAGATCGCTCTGCTGGAGGGACAGGACTACGACCCCCATGTCGCGTAAATGGAGCACAGAGCTACGGTGCGTCCTCTTGCGATTACCGAGCGCTCCGAGGACGCGTCCTGGTGCGAGCCTCGAGTAGTCTCGAAACATCTGGTTTTTTCATCTTTGACGCAGAACCTTCGTCTCGTGGAGTCCAGACCGTTCCTGGGGAATCAGACCACATCAAAATATCACCCACGACGTCGAGGATTTATGGAACGTGTGCGATCCTCACAGGAATTCTGGGTGGGTATCCCGATCTCGATTCCCTGAGTGTGTTCTTTGGTACGGCGAGCGTCGAGTCAAAGAGTCGACGGAAAAACGCAATTGACGCGCTCGGGGCCGAGACATTCCAATGTAGTGATGAGCCCGAGCTAAATAGGGAAAAAATCAAGGTTGCTCGCAGGAGTGGCTCGGAACTGCTGAGACAATACATACGTTCGGTCTCCATCGCTTTACGCTGACTGCGCTTCTTAAACGTGGCCATCGAGCCTCGGACGACTCTCGGGACGGAGTCCTCGCCCGGAGCCAGTCCAGAGGAGCACCAGGGTTTGCGGATCATTGAGGATGTCCCGGAAGCCGCCGAACAGCGGACGCCGCTCAGGGAGAATGGCAATGTGGATCGGATCGACGACCGACGGACGTGAGGATGAAATTCGGGCAAGAAATCGGGACGGCCCGGGAGCCGTCGGACCCGGAGGCGGAGCGACCGCAGATATCGAGCAACTGTCAAATCGACGCGCCAGATTCCGATTCGAAGGAGAAGCGAATCGCCGAGGCTCGCCCCCACCGTCTCGGGAGCTCCCCTCGCTAAGTCGGTCAGCGTCGAACGGAGCCGTGTTGTCCTTGTCATCATTAACGTCATCGACGTCTCCGTCGTCGTCTTCAATTGTTTCTCCGTCACATTTCTCACCATGGCCTCCAACAACTGCCCGGGTCGAACTTTCCGATTTTCGTCATCGGTACCGGGCTCGATCCGGACGGGCTCATAAAAATACGCGTCGGCGTTCAAAGGACCCGATGAATGCGTAATAAGACCCATTGCATCACGATTTGAAAAATAGAAGCAAAGAGCCAAACATCGCTTATACCTACGCAGTTCGCTGAGAGAAGAACGTCGTTGAAAGGTCCCGGCGTTCGACTGTGACTTTTCTTGTCGTTGTGGTCGCCGCTATTGCGGCTCCCGCTGCTGCCGTTGTTGTTGAAGTCCACCTGACTTGTGGTGCCTCAACCAGCCGACCGAGCGAACATCGCCGTAGACCCCATCGTTCTCCCAGGAGGGAACACTTTCAGAATTGACGCGCTCTAGCGGTGGCCGCAAACTTTAGATTAGGTGCGACCGAAGGTTGGTTCCACAGAGCGGAGCAACGACCTATCTGGGATCCCGGCGAGGATCTTGAAAAGAGACGACCGGGGAGGAAAAACTACACATAACTTTTCCTTGTCGATTCGAGTCTCCCCCTCCCCTCGCGTTGCTTAACATTGCGTTCATGTCCATTGTCGTTTTCTCCCTTTTCCTTCGACAAGTTCCCCGACAGCTGTTCGGAGAGCGAACCGTGCGAACGGTGTCGGACAATTCCGAGGGAGCCGGAGTTCATTCTGCGGGTTGAGATACGGAGCTTGTTTTCAGAGCACACTCAATGTCTATGGTGTCCCCAACAAGGGGGTTGAGAAGTTTTGAAGACTCGCAGCCCTCGAAAATATTCGTGGACGAGATGAATGACAAAGGGAACGGACATCAGTCCGGAGGGACTCGTCGGGATCCTCCCTGGGCTGGATAAAGAAAAATTCGGGACAAGGATCCGTCGGAAGATTCTCTCGAGAAACGCTCTGACGGTGGGTCAAATAACACGACGAAGTGGTCGACTGAAGCTGGACGCTATCGAGAGACAGCTCGGAAAACGTCTCCTCGAATCTGCGATCAGCTCCCTGAATGTCCAAGCTGATTAGCGGCAGCGGCACCGGCCCCGCCGTGGTCCATCAGAAGCAGACTGTAGCAGCCTTCATCAGATCATATACAAATGAGGCCAGTATTTGCCGACCACCTGAACCGAGTCTAGAGCCCGCGCCATTTCACCATAATGAAAGTCGGGAATTCTATTCCGTTACGCGGGTGAAGTCCTGAATTAGAAGTCCATAGATTCGTTTCCGGTGGAGTAAGTGTCTCGAGCCTGTCATGTATCAAAGGGCTCTGCTCGGAGTTCGGGCGCCAGCTGCTCGAAACGCTGCGCGGAAAAAGCCCCGCAAAAACTTCAAACGTAAGCTTTTCCTTGTGTCTGGGAGCTACATGTTGCGGCGAGAGGGCTTGCGGCCGACAGGAGGGAGAAGCCCGAAGGGAAAAGTCGACAATGGTGGCGTGAAAATAGATTCATCTATTCTCTGGTCGTCTCCTACATCCTTTCTCCGCAGTCGTTCGCTGGCTCGCTCGTCGCTCGCTCACTTGCCTGTTTCCACTGCCGTCAGTTGAGAAAATCGACTTTCGCGCCGCCCGCTGGGCTGACTGGCTAAAGACAAGTTAGCCTTCCTTCCTTCCTCCCTGGACGGGCGGATAAGGCGCTGGGAGCCGCGGGGCACCAGGCCTCGCGAGAGGACAGCGACAACGAAGGGTGGGAGCGGTGGGGGGACGTAGACGGGGGAGATGGAGGCACAGAACGCCGACAGGCGCAGGAGAGAAATTCCAGGACCCTGGCACACGGAACCGGCTAGAGAGTTGGTCTTTTCCCCCGTCCGATAGGGGGCCGGCATCTGCGACCGTTGCCAGAAGCCATGCGGACCGCAGCTGCCTCCCTGGCTGTGCCCCTGCAGCTTTAGCGCCGACCGACGACGTTAGGGAACGGACACCGGAAACAAGTGCATTGCGAGGGGAAACCACGGCCATCTAATGTGTAGTCGTCCGTACATTTACTCGGTCGTTGATGGTTCAAGCGCTTCATTTCCCAAAAGAAAATTCCGCATAGCTTTCATGACCCACGGTCCACATAATGGATATCCCCACGTTTTGTTTCAGCTCAGGAGTCCGGCCTGCTTCCCTTCCGCACCGTTGAATCGGAAATCTCGCCAGGAAACGCATCGAGAGGAGATGCAGATTTGGAAACGATGAAACGATTCGAAGGTGCATTTGAATTCGAGTGATTTTCAAGAACGGAATCGATGACGACGGTCCCGGCCGGGCAGTCTTCGGCAGACTTCGTTCGATCAGGGCTGCTGAGTGGAAACATTGGGCCGGTCGGAAACGCGGCCGATGGACCGAGCGGCCGGCCGGTTGCTCCGTTCGTCGAGTCAGGCCGAGCGACGACGGTGGGTCCTGTTGGAGGATAGCAAACGAAACCTCGCGAGGCCAATTTCGCGAATCGCTATGGCCCCTCGGAGGTTTCAAACGCCGAAGCCTCACGGTGAAGTTTCCCGTCGAGGTACGTCGGACGCTAAACTTTTCATATTCAGATCCTCACAGCGTTCAACTGACTGAGCTTTCGAGGGAACGAAACATCGTCATACACCTTCAATCGGCTTTCTAATTACCCCTTAGCCTTCGTCGGAACAATTTCATTCCGCTAAGCCGTTAGCAGACCTCCACCACCGCCCGCCTCCGGCTGAGTGAGCCCGCGAACGCTTTGTACGAGTACTCTCCGCGCCCGTCCATTCCCCTTGCTGCCCGTTCCTCGCTGACCCCGCTCCCGCCGGCTCTGGGCACAATCGTTATCCCAGGTTAACCCCTTCGATGCCCAGGGACTGTCTACCACGGCCCGGCCGAGTTGAGGGGACGAAGGGATGTCGGGGAATTAAGTCCTACCCGTCATCCGCGTCATTCTCATGATGAGCATTGAGAGCAATATCATAATCGAAGTACTCGTCCACAGGGCCGGACTTCATTACCGCACCGAAACCATTTCAAAAATGGATTCCGCAGCGTCCCGAGTGGCTGTGCCTCATCGAAGCGATGACATGAAAGCAATCGTTCCGCTCGGATTTTATGAACGCGCGGAGCGATCCAAGCGCTCGACTCAATCGATTTGGTTTTCGTTGTTCGGCGCCCGTGAGGAACGTTTGCGGAGGGGAATAGAAACGCAGAGCTCCTCGACCGAAGTCCCGTCGTCTCACTCAATATCTCGTGTGTATGTAGGTACACACGTACGTACGCACGCACGTCAATACCTCGGAGGCTTAAATGCTACCGACGTGGCGGTTCAAAATTCGATAAGGCGCTTGGAACACATTCGCACGGAGTCCGTGTTCGTTCAGAAGCGATATCCTGGGCGTCTCTTTCCAGAAATAGACTCGATGTCAGACA